TCAACGTGTGTCAAGCTGGAGTGTATCCCGCTATGTACGTAGGCATCGTTGGGTTCAGATTACAAAATCAGATTCTTGTTAAGAAATTGGTGCAGTGGTAATGTAGGAAGCCCTCTGTGATTCTCAACCGCTTGCCAGAATCAGCTTTCTGAAAACAAACAAAAAACAACAAAAGGCCTAAAGGAAAGAAAACAGGGTATGTTGGAAGATATATTTTACTGGAAAAATAACATCAAGAGAGCCAGCTGCTACCACATGAGTCTGCATTATTAACAGAGGGCTGGAAGAAAAAAAAGACTTCTGCTCACTGGAATAAATCAAATCTACACTTTAATTTAAGCTCTGAATTTAATTAACTGCAAGGAAAGAAAAAAAAAATCAAACTTTTGTTTCCTCACAAGCAATTATGCCTAAATAGGATACTGTAGATGCACATGAATTTTTCATATAATCATTTGTGCACACAAATAAGGCGTTTATGTAAGCAAAGGCTAATTGTCTGCACAAATTTTGTCAACTCAATGCACTTTCATAATGTGCGGTTGCAAAGTAAACATCGGGTTGCAGCTCTTCTACAAGCGTGGCCATAAACTTGGATGTGCTGAACTCCTATAGTTAAAGATATATATCACATGCTGCGTCTGGAGCGATTCTGTGCAGATAACGTGCTGTTCAGTTCGGCGTGGACTATGGAGATGTGCACAGTTTCTATACATTCTACTCACTATGGCAACTAAGCCCAGAAATGAGCTCGGGTTTAGGCATAGCTGATGTCAGTGGATGGTTGCACCGATGCTTGGAGTGTCCTTGCCCAGTCTTTGCCCATGATCCGAGCAAAGACTCCACCTAAAGAGAGGATCCCAGCTGGGCTGGGTTTTTTTGTGTGTGTAGATGATGGTTCTGCCACATGTAGCATCTCCCCTAGGATTAAGTTGCTCTGACCTAGTCTCATCCTTGTGCACAGTGCTCAGACCTGTGGACAGCTTGAGAGAGCAGCACAGCAGCCCATGACTGAGTGTCCTGGTCCACGTGATGGGCCCAAGTCCAGGGATGTGACAGGGAAAACCTGCAAACCTGCAGGAAAGAGGAGGTGAAGCAGCACGAGCCTTCTGAAAAAACAGCAGCAGCATCTGCAACTCCCGGCAAAATTAACCCATTTTAAAGCTAGATGTAGATGGGTGCTGTGTCCTGCACCTTGCTGTGACTAAGTGGTGGGACCAGCCCACGGGTTTGGCTTGGTTCTGGGTGCTGACCTGCTAGCAGAATCCAGGACTTACTCATGGCAAATACAGGGGATATTTGCCACGTGCAGGAACGAGGTTTTTCCATCTACCTTTCTGTTCTTATGGATCATAAACGAGGTCACACAAGCAATGCAGAAATTGGAGTTGCTCATTTTTGTTAGAAATAGTCTAATTGCAAGAAATTAAATAACTTGTTGACAGATGACTCATCATGTACGTGCAGAAGCAAAAGATGGGTTTCTTAATTTAATTATTTAATCTGCATATTCAGAAGCTAATTACAGGGAAGAATAATCCATTTTAAGCCATCTTAAGTGGTCATCTTGAAGCCAACAAAGATGGAGAAAAAAAAAGAAAGATACTTTTTTATGTAAGAAGATTAGCATCCCTGTTGGAACCCGATAGCCACTCCAAGTAATGAAAAGTTCAAAATTTAGACACACAAAACTACTTCTCAGGGGCCACTAGACCTTTCAGGTGTCTTAATGACTAGATGACCTCTAGAGATCCCTTCCAACCTTAAGGATTCCATGAAATGTCCACCAGGAAAAACTTCCTGGGAAGTAGAAGGAATGTGTAAAGTTCATTTAGTGAAAAAAGGATTCTTAAGTTTTTCTTTCTTATGGAAGTATATTTTTAAAAGTGCAATCTGCTTAGAGTTCATTAGCTTCTGCTGCTTTAGTCTTAATTTGAAATACTCTACATAAAAATGAGATAAAAAAATGTAAAAGATCTCACTGAAATTTCAGACTATTTAAAACATTTTGAATCAAATAAGTAATTTTAGTGAATTCATTATAAATAACTTCCAGCATATGCTATGTATCTGTAAGTATGTATGTGTATATACATTATATGTGTATATATAAAATATATATTTTCCATTTTCAGAATAGAATGTACTAGGGCTGTTATTATCTGAGAAACAGATCTACACAATGCTGTAAATTTAAATTAGCTCTGCAAAAGTCTGTTAAGACAGAGAAGCTAATGTGTAAAATTAAAAAAAAAAACTGACAGGGTTTTAAAGTTTTTTTTTTCAATATGTCATATTATGTCTACTCATATTTAACCATTAAGCAAAAATGTGCTGTTTCCTACGTGACATTAACACAAATATTTTGAAACGAGTAGCATGATTCTGCCTCTCAGAGAAATCACTGTTCTTGAGTTTTATGGGGAAAAGTTACTTTGCTGGTTTACAAAGAGAAATTCAAATTAGTGGTATGGAAGATTAGAAAGCTGATTCTTCAGAACAAAAAATCCTAGAATCTGTACTCTCTTATGCTTCATGTTTGATGATATTCAAAGATTTATTATAAGTGTAAAAGTCAACTGACACTTGCAAAATGCCACTCCAAGATGCATGCTGCTATATTGCTTGAAAGCTGTGAGTCCAATTGGAATGATTAACGCTAGGTATTGCTTTGTAATGAACTTGAGTGGAAGCAGTGAGCACATACATCATTCCCTGTCATTCTAGGATGGAATTCTTTTATTTGTATTTTTTTCAAACTGGATGAGCCTTTTTCCTCATTTTGAATATGCTGGGTGTTTTTCAAATGTATCGGTTGTTATTGAGAAAAAGCTACAAGTAGGAATAATATATATTAAATTTTGGGAGACATTCTTTTATCACATGACAATGTTCTGCTTTAAAACTTGTTTTGAGACTGCAGTTATAAAATTGATTTCTTTTTGCGAAGCTGTTTTAGTGAATTCTCAAATTCTCTATTTACATTGCATTATTGCCATACTGTAGATGGAATTAAACCTCATTCTTTGATAATTATCATAATTGGTCAAAAAGTGCAATCCTGGCTGAGATTAACCAGTACCTTTTTGCCAAAAATGGCTTTTGCAATGGACTTCAATGATTTGAACGTGCAGTGCTCTGACCTGGCACAGCCAACATCTCACGTTGTGTGTAGGACTGTCAAATTGATGGGATTTAAAATACCGAGTTTATCTCAGATCTGAATAGCTGACTAAATGGAAGATCAAAGAAGCCCAACCTGATGCTGCAATAGCATGATTTGAGCTAAAGCTTTGAAAAAGGGCGTTATTATTGAAAATCATGCTCAAAGGGTTGGTTGTTTGCACTGTGCTTCTCTGTCAGTATGAACACCGTGCACGATTTGAAATATTTGTAATCTTTGTGTAAAGAACTAAAAATAAAGTGCATATGGTAAGCCCAAAGGATAGAAAGGCTAGGGGAAATGTTCAAAGGAGCAAAGAAAATAGACAGAAGAGAGGAACAAGAGGAGATATAGCTTATTTTTTTAGCATGAAATGGGAATATGGAATGACATGACATTAGGTGTAAGGAAAGTGCTCATGGGAGGAGGGGCAATCTAGCAATCACACCTCACCATGAAGAGAAAATAACACCGGGAGGAAAAATTGAAACAGAGAACAGGAACCTGAAAGACACTGATATTTATGAAAGAAGGGAGAACAAGCAGTGCTGGAAAATACAGGTGATTCTACAAAGACACTGGAACACAAAAGGGCAGGAAACTCAGTAAGCGTTTGTGTTGATGACATCCAGGTAGTTCCACAAGGAAAATATTTTACATTAGGTGCAGGAAGCTTTTAAGTCAAAGCAGTTGTAATTTAGTGGGAAGAAGCCAAAATGGATCAAAAGTGGAGCTGTAGAGAATAGATAAGAATGTGAATGGATAAAGGAGACAAACTGAGCTGCAAAAGCAGCTGGTTATTTCTTTTTCTTTTTTTTCTGTACTATGAAGGAATGTGTCATATAAGAGTTTAATGACTTTTCACCTGTTCTTGGCCTAAAAAAAGTTAAATGTCATCAAGAGGTTAATACAATAAAACCTACACCCAAGAGAGAAGGTCTCTTTATGCAACAGAGTAGAACAGGTATTGGTAGGTTAGGTATTTCCAAGAAATATGTTGTATAAACAATTTGCAAGCAGATGCTTAGCTTTCACCACTTTTTTTTTTTAAAGAAAGGCTCAATAAATAGCTCTTTCTCCTTGCAAATATTTCCATTTTCCAAGCAGTTTTGTGGCATTAGGTTAGATGAATCCCCCGCTCCGGATTTCAGTGGTTCCCTGTATTACTGCAGAAGTTTACAGCAAGCTTTTAAGGTAACAAGTCTCATTCTGGTTGTAGCCCGGGCGGCCGCGCGGGTTTTGGAGGCGAGCAGGGCAGCACGGCCCTCAGGCCTGGCGCAGAACGACCGTTTAACGGCCGCGGCCGCCGCCGCCTTCCCGCCCGCGCGGCGCCGGGAGGGCGGGGCCGGCGAGGGGGCGGGGCCGCGGGAGGGCGGGGGCTACGGACGGCGCGCTCCCCCCTCCCTCGCCCTCATGGGCGGGGCCGGGGATCCCCGCCACCCGCCCCTGTCGTGCGGGGCGAGTCCATTGCGTCCCGTGCACGGGGGGAGCTCGGAACTCGGATGCCGGTTCTCGGTCCGGTTCGGGCAGCGGCAGAGGAGCTGGGGTAGCGTCCGCGGGATAGGATCCACAGTAGGGCTGCCGCAGCCGGTGCGGCCGCTCGGGCGGGGGGAGCCGCTTCGCCCGGGCGGCTCTCCCCTCCCCCCGGCGCCCCCCCCGCGCCCCAGCGGGGGATGGTGCGTCCCGCAGCGCGCGCCTTGCTCGCGCGGTTCGGCGCCTCGGCGGGGGGAGGGGGCGGGAGACCCGGGCCCCGGCGGCTCCGCAGCGTGAGCGGGGGGCGCAGCGCGGCCGGGGGTGGGGGGCCTGGCGCGCGGCGGCGGCGCCCTCGGCCGCCACCATGTCGGCCGACGAGGAGGAGCTCAAAGTGCCCGAGGACATGTTCAAAGATGTCAAGTTCTTCACCGTGGGAGACATCGACCCCAAGGTACCGGCGCGCCCGCGCCCCCGATGCGTGTCCCGCGACCCCCCGCTCCCGGGGGCGCCGTGGGCTCTTCCAGTCCCCCCTGCCCCCCCCCCCCCCAGCACTTCCCCGCGCGGGATCGAGGCTCGCGGGTGGGGTGGGGGTTGGGCGCGCGCTCCCGCCCGCCGCCCCTGAGGGGCTGGGGGCGGGGGGAGCCGTTACGGCCACTAACGGTCACTAACGGCCGTGCCCGCCGCCGCCACCCGCCATGGGAGCAAGCGGCCGCGGCGCGCAGGCCCCGTAGCAGCCTGAGCGGAGGCGGGGCGGGCGCGGGGACTTCCTGTGGGAGCGGAGCGGAGCGGAGCGGGCGCCGCTGCCGCCCGGGCCCGGCCCGCGGGGCCCTCCCTCCCGCCTGCCCGTCCCGCGGCTCCGTGCGCGCCGCGGCCCCGCCGAGGTGCTCGAGCCGGGGGCTCCGCGTGCCGCCCGCCTCGGCCCCCCCGCTGCCCCCGAGCGACCGCCGGGCCCGTAGCCTGGGGGCCAGGGCCGGCCTGTCCCAGCGCCCGGGAAACTTTTCCCGCTGTCCAACCGGGCCAGCGTTTGACGTGCCCCGTGTCTAGCGTGAGGGCAGCAACTTCGTGCCCACCGTGCCGTGTGTTTGTTATTGAAATTTAAGTCTGGGCTTCTTCGCTAGCTGCTGTAGTCCAGCCCTTTGTTCAGTGTCAGGTTCCTTTAATCTCAGGGCTTCATTTTCACTTATGGGCCTTTAAGAGAGCCATAAGCACAGGACGTAGATGTTGACTCATTTAGATTATTTTTATACGTTCACACAAATAGAATTATGTTTTAATGAAAATATAGACCTGTGAGGTAGTTGAGGAGCACAAGGAAAAGTCTTCAGCCATGAACTGTTTGGAAATGATTGAATAGAGCATTTAGAGCTTGAATAATACTTTGTATTTTTAAAAATCTATAGCATCAATATTATTATGTGTATAGAGAGGAGTGAACAGAACTGCAGGACTCTTCTATATCACTTATAATCATGGATAGTGTCCCAAAAGGGACACAGTTATTTTGTGTTGACATAGCAAGACAATCAGCAGTATTCCTGGAGTTAGTAAACAGTTGGTCGCTTTTGCTAGTGTCTTTTTTTCTTTTTTCTTCTTTTGATCAATTTTATCTTGCTTAGCAGCTAACGTCATTGTTGTCAAGCTTTGATGTGCGCCAAGTTAGAGACACTCAATTCTCATGTATTTGTGGATGGCTTTTCTGTGTTGTAGATGGACACACACGTGGGGTGGCCCGGGCTGGGTTCATAAACTTGGGCACAGCACTTTGCAAAAGCTGCTGCCGCTGCTTCAGGTCACTCACAAAGGAGGTTACCCACTTCTTTGTGTATGTGGTGCCCAAATTGAAAAGCTCTTGGATTTAAGTTGTTCTGTGAACAGCCTGCAGACAGTTAAAAGACTCTCCCCTCCTGTGCTCTGGATACTGAAGTGCCTTGGTGCTTTGGCACGGGGTTGTAGGGATGTCAGGACATCCTCAGTGCTGCTGCCTGAGCCCAAAGCTAGTGGATTTTACTGGACTTGGGCAAGTTCCGTGTGGGAACTTTGTCCCACTTTTCACAAGTGGGACGCTGGGAAAACAAAACCAGTTAAAATGCTGTTTACCTGTTGTGTTCTTAGCTGGGATACAGAAGAGAAAATCCAAACCAAATTCTGCAAATAGATTTAAAAACTAGTTTCTGTATTAAAATATTTATCTATTAGTATTATAAAAATAGACATGTTAGCAAAGCTGTTTTAATATACAAATGGTTGTTAGCTTACTTTCAAAAAGAAGTTTCCTATTTCATCTTTCGGAGATGAGTTTACCCTGGTCAACTTAAATATCTAAATGTTTTCATTGAAGACTGGATATCCTAATAAATATTAAAACAGGTCTAGCACAAATGAGGATTTTAATGAAACCAATAATCAGAACAAAATATAATTATTCAGGTGACTAGCTACATACTACCTATTGAAATACTTGCAGCATAAGCTACAAGGGAAACAAAAGTTTGGATTTATGCTTAGATGTTCTTTGGCAAATGATGGAGGATTAAATTTCTGGCTCTCAAATTTGAATCCGTTCCACTGGGATGTACCCTTGCCTGTGCACACCTCTCTGAGGGGCTACATGCCATTTTTCCTATTTTTCTCCTTTGTAATAAATGCTTTCCATGTTTTCTTGGCAGATGTAAACTCCAATCATTATGCACAGCTAACGCTGCTGAAAATAGACAAAGAGAGTAAAATAGAGTAAAACAGTACTGTGCAAGAAGGAACTTGAGCAGAATACTTGGTTTCTGTATCTTTTCTTGTTTTATTATAAATTTTGGTGCCCATTCTTCTGTTCTACTTTTTAGTTTTGAAATCCTGCTGTTTTTTCTGCAGATTCAAAGACGAAATATAGGTGCCATACAGATGAAATGTCAGTGAAGTTCACATGAATTTAAGCTAGCATCTGAAGGGCAAGATTTCTACGATAGCTGTATTAGGGGTTGCCAGCATTGTTTTTCCTCGCGTTACAAGGTGAAGTCAGTTGTGCCCATGTAACTTTTCAGTGTAGCTACTCTACTTAAAGCGAGCATGTGCTCTAAGAGGAATTTTGACACTGACATAAGCTTTACCAGGAGAATACTCTTTCATACTGCTCTAGATAACCATATGAAATTATTATCCATTATATTTAAGCACCCTACTGATGCTAATGTAGGTATTTGCTTAAGTAATCTCTTTAACACAATGCTGATTTGATACAGAAATCTTGTATTCGTTGTTTATTAGGTGCAAATTTTCTTCATGTTTTCTGTTTTAAATGCACAATTTTCCTAAAACTCTATTCTTTTTTTAATCTTTCAATGAATACACAATTAGGTGGGGCTTGTAACTGTTGTAACAGAGAAGTTTGTACTTTAGCTCTTTAAGGTAGTACCTAAGAATACATGTCCTTCTACCTGTTGTTCTTCCTGCTTTCCCTAAAATAAACTTAACTCTGCCTCAGTTTATTTTCCAATACATCTCTTTGCTAGAAAGCTTCCTTTCTCTCTTATACCATAATTACATTTTTTTTCTTGCAAATTCTTTTAGTGTCAGCTTTCTTTTTTTTTGCTTGCTGGCTATCAGCTCAATACTACAGTAGATTCATTTTCTTTACCTTTCTTTTCTCCACTGTTGGTGTGAATAAGTTCCATGTTTAAGTGTACTCCTTCACTTGCTGTTTATCAATTTACTTATTTAGTCCTTTCAGAATTCACATCGCTGTGTATTTATTTATTTATTTATTTATTTATTTATTTAGCCAGTGTGCTGCATTTGGGGTCACAGGAGAGAGAGGGAGATGCTCTGCTCAGTTATTTTGCCCAATTCACTATTTTGGAGAGGCCCAGCTATTTCAAACTTACTCATACATTCTGTGGGTTGATATATATTGATTGGATCTAAAAGTATTGGAACCAAATGTCATTTGTGGGATGGAATTTTTTTTAGTTTTTACACGTAAACATATACTGGGAACACATGAGTAATTTCTTTCTCCTCTATCAAAGTAAAGAACTAGCTTGATTGGGAAGTGCTTCCATGAAGGCTGCACTGTATAGTCCTGACTACCTTTTTCTGAACTTCAAGCTCTTTTTTTGAGCGATATAGAATGGACTCTGAAGCTAATATCTGCAAAACTAAATGCAAAGGAGAAGGAAAGTCTTTTCTTGGGGAAAAAAAATATAATTTATTTTCAAAATTTTTTGACTCTTTCCAGATTTATGCCCCAACCTGAATTATCTTGGAAAGTAAAACTTTGTCTTGGGTGATTAAAATATGACAGAGATGTAAACATTAAAAATAAGCTTTTAAATGGTATTCATTTGACAACTTCAGTAATGTTTATTACTGTCAGCCCCTATGCTTTGTGTTCTGTAATGTATTGGTATATTCTTGCACTAGTGCTTTTATCAAATCAAAAGTAATTTAAAAAAAAAGTTGACTTACCTCACTGTTCTCTTGGTTTTAGGTAATTCAGCTTCTGAAAGCTGGGAAAGCAAAAGAAGTTTCTTACAATGCACTGGCTTCACACATCATTGCAGAAGATGGGGACAATCCAGAGGTTGGAGAATCTCGTGAAGTCTTTGATCTCCCTGTAGTAAAGGTGAATGACTCCTCTCTGGTAACTTCTTCTCTTACAAGTTATACTGGAAAATGTTCATGTTTTGCTAATGCCCAACTGAAATGTATTTTTGGAAATCTAATGTTGTCTTCACAAACTTTTTTTTCCTGGATGATACACTTATATTGCAGTCATGTTCCCATATTTCTCCTGCTTTTGGGTTTTTTTTTTTTTTTTTTTTTTTTTTTTTTTTTTTTTTTTTTTTCTTTCCTTCCGCTTACCTTTCGTCTTGTTTCAGGAAGTTCTTAGAGCTTCTGGCAATGGAAAATCTCAGTTTCAACAGTAGTAGTAGACTGCTCATGTTTATTTATTTATTTTAGACACGTGTGCTTAGCAAGGTGATTCTGCATGTGTGTACTCTGTTAATAATAATAATAATAAAGTTAGTAGACTTTTAATCTTAGGTTTTTTTTTTCTTGTGATTTTTTGGGGCTTACTCACATTGAATTACTGATATTTTGTTACTACCTTAAGACTATTAGCTTAGCTTTCTCCGGAAAGCTTTCAGGCTCCATGTTTGAAAATGTGAACTTGGCAGATCTGCAAGTCATGAGAGCAATTTGAAAAGAAAATCTGTATTATTTCACTGCCAATATTTAGGAGCACATCGTTTTGGAGCTTTTATGCATATGGTTGCAGGTGACCATAATGAATTTTAGTTGCCTATATCATAGGAATTTACCTGAGAGTTTAATAGTATGTGTTTAAAAATAAACAAACAAATACATAGAGACCTTATGGTTATAGTGAATGCACTACTTGATTAAAAGGTTCTTTTTAATATTTTCCATATTCTGAAGTGTTTTCTGCTATAATTTTAATCTTAAAAAAGTATCACTGTCATTCTCATATGAAGGAAAGGACATCTGAAATGTCCCAGAATTTGAGTGGGGGTCATCATCCAGCTTCACTGGATGCTTAGGAGCTGATTTTAAATACCTTTAATACCTTTTAAGTACCTCTGTGTAGAGTTAATGTTTAATATGTTTAGTAGCTCCTTAGAGGTAAATGTAAGGTAGGAGAATTTTTTTTTTTCTTTTAAAGCAGGGGGAATTGAAGAAAGGAGAAAGGATGAATAAATACTATACATGATGAGTAAATACTATACATGATGTTTTGGGCACAATGGCAGGACAAGGGAAGGGGAGTTTGTTCCCATATTGCTCTGTGACCTTTGAGAAGTCTTAAGAGAACCCTTGCAAATAAATCAGAACAGTTTTTGTAAATGTCAAAATATGTTGTCAGTGAAACATTGTGAATTTCTAATTTGGGAGATGTGTATTGCAATTAGGTTTGATACATACTTGGAAGGTAATTTGCATTTCATTCATGCAGACCAAATTTTTTAACTTCTTGGCTTTTTATCTTTCAGCCTTCCTGGGTGATCTTGTCTGTTCGCTGTGGAGCTCTTCTGCCGTATCCTTTTAAGTTGTTCATATTCAAATGTATTTTATTGAAAACATGTTAAAATAAATAGTATTGAGTGGCTAAAGAGCCACTAGAGTGGCTAAGGGCTAAAGATAAAGCATACATAGCTCTAATCTTTAAAATGACAGGATATGTTTTCCCTGCTGTGGTTATAGTGGGCCTGGAGCTTCTTTGTCTTATTTGCTTATGCTGCTTTTGGCTGTTTCAGCGTGTACTAGATGCTTGCCAGAAAAGTGTTACTGGGTGGACTGCAACATTTTATCTGGGAATTACTACTAGCTGTGAGGATCCAGGGAGGCTTCTACAGTGCAGAAGAAGGGCAGGTGTGAGGGTTTGGAATAGAAGGCCCTATTCGACTGCCTTTGCTAGAAGCAGAATTAAGCCATGATAGATACACACATATACACACACTGTATTTTAAATAACGCTTCATTAATAGATAATAGTAGTATTACAGCTGTTTGAATAGTCTTCCGTACCCTTGTTAAATCTTGTTATTTTTCACTGGGCTAGATTTATCCTTTTTTAACTTGTTTGGAAAACATTCTTGCATATGCATGGTGTGTTCCTTTCTCTTTTCATCAGTTATTACTGTTTCAAGCTGATTTATGTCCCTGACAGTTTTTATTTGGATCGTAAGAGTGATAGCAATGACTGCTATTACAGAAAGAAATTCATGCATCTTTTTCTCGCTACTCTTACAAAGATTCTGTATATAGAAAAGCTGGAGCAGAGCAATACTTTTCAGGACAGGATCTCATTTGAGGTTAGCAAAAGAAGCAGCCAGTGCTGGAATACAGGAGGAAGTAGAAGCAAAAGTTTAGTCTTAATGTGCTTCAGTTATTCTCTATTTAATGTCTAGTATTTCAAGGTATACGCCTTTCCATCTTGCTGTGTGCTGATTGTTTTGCAAATACCCTATACGTTCTCTACTTCCAGAAGAGAACTTGCGTGAACTGTGGAAAGAGAAAGCATAAAATCCATCAGCTAAGAGAAAATTGCAGATTGGGCCTGGGCGGTTGTTCTGATCATAATAATTAATTGTGACAGGATTTTACCAGTTAGTAAGAAAAACTATCCCTGAGTCAGGGATATTCTGACTTAAGCGGAAGAAAGTTTTCCTCAAATAAATTGGCTTCTAAATGAGCATTTAAATGAGCATTTCAAAAGAGCATTGAACATTACATGTTAAAAAGCAAGTTAAGGAAACTATTCCCACATTCAAAATAATTATTGTGAGGTGGTCTGAGCTGGCGTCTTCTGTGGTTGGCATCTGTATTTATCAGCCTTTCAGCATCAGAATGGGAGTCTGTGCTCTTCCTTAGATCAGATTCAAAGAGGAACTGGATAGAAATGTTTCTGGGAGAGGCTGAAGTTTCAAGCTTAGGTAATAGAACATTTTAATGATCCACTTTTCCCATAGAGAAGTTGCGCTGTTAGAAAAATGGTTTTCCATCTGAAACCAGGTGATATTAAACAGATAGTTTAGTGCTCATTTTATTTACCTAGAAGAGAAATCAACAGATAAAACTTGTGAGTAATGCACTCCATAATTTATCACAATATATGCATGAGTTTAGCCCTGAATAACTTGCTCAGAAAGACTTTCTTGTGAGTGTCTACGAATGTCCAAATGAAAAGACCAAGTCTCAATAGTACAATATTTCTGGGTTGTGGGGAAGAAGAAAGTTTTGTGCACATATCAGCAGTAAATGTCTCCTTGAACTCTTGACTTTTCTCCCTAGCTATTTGTGTTCAGAAAACCTGGTGTTTTTTGGTTTAATTCTGAGCCTTACAGTGGTCACTAAAATGTGTTGTTAGGTCTCAGCTTTGGTTTTTTTTCAGCCTTTCTGTGGCTTCTAAGAATCTTGCATTTCATTAGAATTTTATGCATTACCATAATGAGAATACTAGACAACAGTTAGTAGGAATAACTTGCCTCTCCAATTTGAGTTTTGTTGGCTGTTTTTTTTTTTTTCCTCAGACAGAGTTTTGATATATCCTAGCCTGGTGTTTGCTTTTAATTTAGAGGTTTAGTATTCAAAATTGACTTTGAATTTATTGAGGAAAGAAGTCCTAGACACACTAGAAACATTCTGTATCAGTTAAATGCACAGATCTATCCCAGAGAGCCTTAAGAATTTTAAGATCAAGTACCAATTCCAAGACATATTTGATGGGCATTTGGCTAGCAGTGAAAAGGTGAAATTTGATATAGAGAGGTTGAGTACATTATAAAAGCATAATAATTTTGTCTGTTCCGTAGAAATACATTTCAACATTCAATTCTGAAAGTTTTCTTAATGAGTTGGACCTTCAGAAGGGAGAACATTCTCCCTTTTTTTCCAGTAGCTGGTACGAGACAAAACCTGAATAACTTAGAGTGAAGGGAAAGTAACAGAATTTGAGACAGAGAACATCCTTCCAGGAGGAAAAGGATAGAAAAGGAAAAATCCTTCCTGTTTTAAAACTTTGATTAAAATGCTATGAAGAGGTCTTCATAGTAATTTTATTTTTGTTAAATGTGAAAAAAGAAGGAAGGAGAAAGGTTTATTTTTTGTTGCCCTTATGTGGATGAAAGGTCAAAAACACTTTATCATTTTTGTAGCTGGGTAAAGCAAAGAAATCTCACTGAACAATTTTGCATTCCTTCCTTTTTGTTTTCCAGACCGCTTTGAAACCTCATAGACCCTTTTAAAGCACAACAGTTTCGCTCCTGTTGTTTAGAGAGTGCAAGCAGCAGTGAAGCTGAAGAACCTCTTCAAAGTGCCATGCTGAGCTCTTGCTACTTCATGGGCTAGGAACAGATGCTAAGGCAGAAAGCAGATTACGAGACACTTCTAAATAGTGCTGTACTGAACCTCTGCCTTTGATATAATACTAACACAAGGAAAATTTGGATGTTCTTTGGACTTGGGCTGCTCAGAGTATTGTGGATAGTGGCAGGAATCAATTCATGTGGTTTGATTTTGTTGTCAACTTGCTGCTTGCTGTGTATTATCCTCCAAATCTCAAAGTTACAGCACTGCTGGTGCACCCGTTGACTTTGTTATAGCACAGGGGAAATTTTTCTTAAACACAAAATGGTGATGGGAGATCAGGGATTGACTGAGATTCCAGTCTCTTCAGGCACCTTCCTACAGTGCTTCACTGTGGTCTGGCATGAGTTTAGCATCATTTCCGTGCAGTAGTTTAGTCTTGTTCTGATCTTGTTCTGATTCATCTGAGCTACTCCAAAGAGGAAGAACAAATTACTTATCTCTTCATTTGGGTTGGTCTTTGTGGATTTGTTTGTTCTCAGCTTTTTAAACCCATCAGTTCTGGCTCTTTCAGGTTCATCTCATGAGTTACGTTTACTAGATCCATAAAAGATCTCCTTACTCTTGGCAGATACTCTTTAATTTATGCAAGTCTTTCATATGAAAACAAATACACTTTGCTATCACAAATCTAGTCAGGTATTGAAAATAGATGGAAAACAGCGTTTGAGTTTCAGATTCTGTTTTTGCATCCTATGTGATGTTTTCTCAGCTTGTGATTCGTGGTAGTTTCTAGCTTTTTTTTTTTTCTTGGCATGCTATTGATGATGTATTTTATTTGCCTTTCTGTGCAACTTTTCCACGAGCTTTGTATACTTGTTTCATTCATCACACATTTTGCTTTAATGTGATGAAGAAATAAAGGCTTAATACAAAGGAAACATTGAGAACTTCAGTACTTCCACCTACAATATATAATACCTGGCAGAGAAGGACAAAAAGATTTACTTGGTGCAGTTATTCTTCATTAATTCATATTGACTTTACTCATCTACCGATTATGTTCTGACTGGTTTAACTAGAAAGCGTCCCAGCTTATTTTTCCAGAAGTATAAATTGAGTGATTGAAATTTCCTGGTTTACTCTTTTCTCTACTAGGCAGAGGGAATATTCTTCTGTACTTCCAGTCTTTCAGAAGTTGTAAAGGGCACATGAGCTTCCAACCAGAAACAGCACCATTTAGCCAAACTTGGTTGTTTTGGAAGCCACTTGCAACTCTTAACTAGTTTTCCTAACTAGTTTTCTTGTTTATAGCCTTTTTTTTCCTTTAATTCCTTGTTGATTTCAAGTGAAATCATCCACCAGATTGCAGTCTTTCTTTAACAATCCGGTAAGGAAGGCGCTCCGACTTTCTGACAGTCATCTGTTACTAGCTTTTCTTTTAGGAGAAAAAAAATCTTCGGTGTTTTTAGTTTTATTGAATTTCTTTTGCACTATGTTCTTTCTTTGTTCTCTGTTGCTGACTCTAGCAGAAGAACTGTTGATTCCCTGGAAGAAGAGCTCTTGATAATGACCTGGCTTTCTATGAGCTTAATTTCCTGTGTTCAGAGGCAGCCTGATCCAGGTTGCATACAGCATGAGCTGAAAACAGAGCACGTGCTTTTAAAGTTTTTGAATGGTTAAATACTTGATATCTGAGAAGACCTGTTGTACTGTGAAATGTCCTTCTATTATCCATAAGGAAACTTCCATTTAAAATATCTTGTATCCTTGACACCTGTTGTTTCCAGGGTAAATGGCTTTTCTCCAGAATCCGGTCAGATCTTTTTTGGAGTCACTGCTTGTCTCTCTCAGGTAGGTTTATCATATTTCATTGTACTCCAATATAAAATGTGTGTGATCCTTAAGGGAAAACAAAGGAGAGGTGCCTTTTTTTTGGGTGTATGATAGAATTATCATCTCAGTAGTGTTAGATTACGACTGAGAATGTAAGCATTTCGTACTGTGGCCATTTGATTAAATCATAAATTTATCTTGTATTCAGTAATGTGATGATTCTAAAATGAAAAGCACACTGCTGTAGGAAATCTTTAGTACTATTATTTATTCATTAACACAGAATATTTGCTAAACCATTTTGTTCCTAAATAAGAACCGAAATCCTGACCAGGGTACCAATGAATGAAATGGGGGATAATTGTGGTGTCTCAATGGTGTTTGTTTATACCCAGCTCTAAAGATCTGTGAGCAGCAGCTTGTTGAGAATTAATTGCAGTGTGTGTGTGTGCAGATAGCATCAGGGTTTAGAAACTAATGGGATATATGAGCTTTAGATTTTTCTTTTCCATTTTCCTTAGTAATTCTAAATATTAGTAACTTAGGTATGCATGGCATTCTTGGCAAAGGAGGAATATAAATTGTTAGAAGTAAACATTTCATGTGTTTACTAAGGCTAGTAATGGGTTCTACACATTAAATTTCTGCTTAATGATTTTAAACCAATTGTCTAAGATCATAACTCATTTATATTTACTTGACTTCTATATTTACTAACTTCTCCTGGGGTGGGTGATATATTAGTGTTCAGATATATCTGTATTACAGAAGTGAGGAGTATTTTCTTTCTCTCTTTGTAAGCTAAAAATGCTTCTTTAATGTAGTTTCCTGCTACACCTCTTTCATTCACCCATATTCTTTTTAATTTTCGTGCTAATTTGGTATTTAAAAGTGATAGCTGCATTAGCCAGACTTGTAAATGATGCATTATGAGTCCTACTAGAAATCTTTGAGCAAAAAGCAGCTGGTTGCATGGAACTAAAAGGCTTATTTAACTTCCCCTTAGGTTTCATCTGAAGACCGAAATACGCTGTGGGCTTTGATTACGTTTTATGGAGGGAATTGCCAGCTGAGCCTCAATAATAAGTGTACTCATTTGATTGTGCCTGAGCCAAAGGGGGTAAGAGTTTATTACACGTACGGTTCTGCCTGTTGTAGCTCTTGTTTGCTTTGGAATAATCAAAAACATTCTGCCTCCCTGAAATTAAGATTCTCTAAATTGTTTGTTGGTCTTAAAAATCAACAGAATTATGCATTGCAGTTAATCACGTCATATTTATTTTCTGCATGGTTTTGAGCCTCATCAAATAAACAGGCACTCAGTTTCATATCTGTATTTATATCTCTGCTTGAATAAAGTGTTTGATTCTTTTTTTCTGTTTTTCTTACCCTAATTAGTGATACATAATGATCATTAGTGACTGTGACTTGTAAGTATGTAGATAGAATCAGCGTAGTAAAACCAAGGACAGAGAACTGAAAAATAATGCAAAATGCCCTTAGACATTCTGAAGGAAAAGAAATAAGGAGAGTGGAAGTAAGAATATGTTAAAAAACTAACCAAAATAAACTGCCCAACCAACCAACCAAAAAAAACCAAAACTAAAAATGTCTCCTCTCTTTCCTCTTGAAGGATAAATCATGCATGGCATTTCTGTGCCATATCTGTAGAAATAAATAAATGTCTTGCTTAATTGTGAATGGTGAGAAATTTATAGAACAAATACTTGACCTAGTCCTTCTGCTGTGTCATACTGCTTCAAGGAAATCTGCAGCAATTTGTAAAGAGAACAGTTTTGACACTAGTAAAATCTTAAATGATTGCTTTGACTTGACATGATAAAACAAGATTCTTAATAGTTCTCACCATGAGGAGAGAATGAAAACTCATATCTGCAAATAAACTTGGTTCATCTGTAATCTTCTTTTTGTATGTGAATGACAGTTTCAAATAACTCTGGAGAATCATTAAATGAAATTAATTTCCTCTGAATGTACTGGTTGATAATTTATGTTGTCTGACATACAAAGAAAATCCCAGTTCAATTGCTTTTAAATATTAGATCCCCAAATTAGTTTTAAATCTTTTATTAAAAGTTTTTTTTTCACTATTTAGATATATGTGAGGAGTTTCCATAAAAGAGGCTGTTTTGACCGAACATTAACACTGATCCTGTGTGTGCTTCTATTTAATTAGAAAAGGAAGCAGAAAATTTGTACTATTTGTACAAGTGTTGTCAAGTAATAACATTAAAATGAAGTATATAGAGATAAAAAATTCAGTGTTGCCATCATCACCTCTTACTGAAATGTGAGTATATAATGGACAGAAATGTGGTTGTTTCATGTTAAGGAAGACCTTACAGTTTGCGTCTTGTGGGTGTGTGTATGAGACACAGTATTTGAACAGCTTCTGATGTCTGTTTGTGCTAAAAGCCATTCTTCCAAATCATTGGCTTTTAAGTATTTGCAACTACTGAATTATGAAATTCTGAGTTACCCTGACTGCTCTCATTTTATTTATTTATTTATTCCTTTTTATTGGAAAAAGAGAAAGTGTGACTGTATTTAGGCCTACATTTCTCTCCCTCTACTCTGAAGACAGTGTAAAGTAGTCACAGTGCAAGTAAGATTAACTGTGGCTTAATGTATGTGAGCTGCTGGAGTTCTGACAGCTTTTTCTGATTTATACTTCCTCATCTATATATATATATAAATATATGTATATAATAATGCATATTATTTTATAATAATTATTATAATGTGCCTATTGAGTCCATCCATTTGTAGATGTGAAGGTTGCTGTTTAAAGCTTTCGAAGCCAGTGGTAAAGCACAGTCATTTGTGCTGTTTGTTGTGGGAGAGCCTGGATTTCTGTGTGCCTGGATTCTGCCCAGTCTGCTTCTATTCAGTGTAGATGTAACAGCAAAAGTAGCTCTAGGAGAGAGAAAAAAAAAAAAAAAAGCAGATTTGAGGACAGGTTTCTATCTCTTTGGTGTATTTGCTTATTTATTTATTTATTTATTTTTGATGTTGTTTTCTCATGGGAAAATTTAGGGAGCAGTCGCTGGGGTACTGCATGTGCAAATGGAGCTGGTAGGCACCGGGACTGTGCACGTAGCCCTTACCTTCGTTCTCATTAACTGCATCTTGAGTAAATGAGAGTGCTTGGTGCCTGTGACCCGAGCTAACTGTACCCAGCCTAGATTTAGTATCACCGTACAAATCTGTGTGCTGATTTGGATCCCAAGAATCTTGATCAGAAAGAGCCTTAGTGGTTCTGCAAGGAGTAGATTGGAAACTCCGCTTTTCTCAGCTCTAGCCAGGCGGCTCTGCAAGTCTGTAAAAACTTCTCTTGGTCTCCTCACAGTCTTCATTCCACCTCCATTCCCAAACATATGAGAATTGAGGCTTCACTTGAGGCTGACTAAGAACTACCTCTTCAGTGTGGTTCAATCTAACAACTTTCCTTCTAATTTCATCCAGTGACTTCTAATTAGAAGGCTCTCTACGTCTTGCATACCGACTCACAATCAAAACTATGCTGCTAATAGTTTGGGAAGGTTTTTTGTTGTGTTTGGAAAGCTCTTGAATGGAAAAATACATTCCTTCTATCTAGGGGCTGTCTGTGTTTTTACTTAGGTATTATTAGTCTGAATTTAGTCGAATCTTGTTTGAACTTTCTCTAGGAGAAGTCTCTTTCCCCAGGAAAGCTCATCTGTTGTTTTAGAAGTGCTGTTGTATTAGTTTTTATGATCAATTTAGGACCCTTGGGGAGTGAAGTGAAATAACTAATAGCAGCATTAAGTCTGACTGCGGCAATTTCCTTCTGAGTGCAGCAGTCCTGCTGATCCTCACAGTTTTATTGGCCATGAGCAATAGGATGTCTGTCTTAACTCAGTGGTAGGAAGTTGTGGTGCAGTTGAAAGCTTTGTTGTAGATGTGTCTGAGCACTTTATTACACATAGGGATTTACCCCTGTTTGTTGGTTTATTCTTGAAAACACCAGTCTGCTCTTGCACATGAGCAATCTTTAAAGGTAGTACTGGTACTTAACCATCTTGCTAATGAGATGTTTCAAACATGCCTTAGTTCATCCAACAAAATTACATGCAGGTTTAAGTAGTCAGGAAGCAAAGCAGGGCTGTGTGTTAAACGTCCCATGTGTGTTAAACGTTCACTTCCCAAGCAGCAGTATGTAGCTTATTTTTAAAATCACATTTGTTTTCACATCCCCCCAAACAAGAGATGCTGACTTCTGCTCCAGGTGACACCCCAGCTTTCCTGCTGTTGATAAGGTCACGATTTCTACAGTGCTCTGCATGGAGCCAGCCTGTTGAAGGTCAGGTTCTACAACACGGCTTTGTTTTTAAATGTTCATCCCATTTCCTTTTTTGGGGCAATCGAAATATTGAAGAACTAATAAGATATGACACCTCATTCGTGGCTTTTATTTCTTGTATGAAAAGCTCTTTTGACCCTTTTAAGCTGTCCTTATGCTCCAATAAGTCTCATTGTTCCTGGTATAAACAGCATGGTGACATAAGCATCGTTTGAAATGGAAGCCAGCAATCTGGTTTAATCGTAAAGAAATGATGTTTGACACAATACAGCTTTTGAATGCACTTAGTTCAGTTATTGAAGGCATTTACAACGTTGACCTTCAAAGTTATTCAGTTATGAAAAGTTTTTTTTTTCCATTTTATTTGCCTCTGGAGTTATAAACTGCTCAAAGCATTTTTTTTTCATTTAAACACAAAAGACAGAAGATTTAGAGGAGTTTAAACACGCATGAGTTTGGGTGAATTTTTCAAGGGCTCTAAGAATGCCACCATCAAAGTCTGAAGAACTAATTGCTGAATCTGCTAGTCCTATTTTGAACAAAATAAAATGTTATCAAGACGTGTTTTAACAGTTTAAGCTGTTTCAACACACAGTTATCCCTTTAAAATTGCAATTCTTCTCACTTCTTTCTTTATATGTATCTAGGTTATTAAAGCATATTACTTTACAGAGGTGCGTAAAATAGGCTGAAAAGCTTGGTAGATTTTTCTTTGCTTCATCCCATTTCCCAAATCTTTGCTGGTGAACTGATGTCTCTTTTCAGTCCGCTAGTTATAAGGGTAACAGAAATAAGTCCAAGTCCAAAACAATCTACAAGAATAAAAATGTTACAAAATGACTAAGAGATGGAGAGGAGTAACAAGGAGGTGTTTCTACTAACTACAGTGCCTTGATTTAGCAAGGAAAAGCATTCTTATTCTGCTCTTGCAATCTTAATTTCCTTTGTTTTAAAAGGGAAAAAAAATACAATTTATGCTTTCTCTTAAAGATAGAAAATACTTGAAATTGTGCTGTGTTATGTTTTAAGACTGAGAGCAAACTCTGATTTTGCTTGGGTTATTTGCTTAAAATTGTGTAGATCATATTCTGAGTCGCAGAATCACCAAATGATTGAGATTGGAAGGGACCTCTGCAGATCCTCTAGTCCCATATAGAGTGCCAGTAGAACAAATGGTCCTATTTTTACCAACATTTCAACTTACACTTTAGAATGTGATTGCCTTTCATGTTGAAGATACAAGTCTGAAGTTAGATGACCTTTATTTATACAAGAAAAAATACTTTTATTACTTTCACTGCATTTGAAGCACCGAGCTCTGATCCTTGACTGACACATGTGACTGGAAAGAGAAGCAATGAATATTATCTTGCAAACAGGTATCTCTGAAACAGTTTGACAGTTTTACTCTAGGTAAGTTTACCTGGGAACTCTTTCAGAAAGTATAGTCTTTATTTGAAAATATTAGTGCCTTAATCTTTGCTGGTACCCTTCAAGCTAACAATAGAATTAATTGGTGATTAAAAAACTATGAGTGATAAAAGTCCAATGAGAAGTGCATCACAGCTATTTCAAGAAACTTACAGTTGCACTTCTGGCTGTTTGTTTAGTAGTACATAGACTCACATACCTGATATCTTCTGTGTTTAGGCTTTGGTTTGAATTTTTGGTCAGGAATAATGAAAGAGTTGTTGGTAAGGAATAGCTGCATGCATTGAGAAACCAAGAGAGCTGCCAAGTGTGTGCAGTGCATGAAACTCTTCTTTTAGAGTGAAACGTCTTCATGTCGCTAACATATTAAATACTATTTTTAAATAGTTCTTTTTTTTTTTCTGTTTTCCTTACAGGAGAAATATGAATGTGCTTTTAAACGGGACAGCATTAAAATTGTGACACCAGACTGGGTACTGGATTGTATAGCGGATAAAACTAAGAAAGATGAGATTCCTTATCATCCTCGCTTAGTTATATACGACGAGGAAGAAGAGGAGGAGGAGGAGGAAGAAGAGGAAGAAGCCGAAAATGAAGAGCAAGATTCTCAAAATGAAGCTAGTACCGATGAAAAATTATCAAGCCCAGCATCTTCTCGGGAAGGGTCACCTTTGGGTGATCAAGCCTTTTCACCAAAATCTACTACTGCTGATAAGGCAAAAGGGGAACTGATGTTTGATGATTCTTCGGATTCCTCTCCGGAAAAGCAGGAAAGGAATTTGAACTGGACACCAGCTGAAGTCCCACAGGCAACTGCAGCAAAGCGTAGGTTGCCCCAAGGCAAAGACTCTGGGTTGATTAATTTATGTGCCAATGTCCCGCCAGTGCCAGGTAATATTTTGCCTCCTGATCTCAGAGGCAATTTAATGGCTTCAGTGCAAGGTGCCCAAAGTTCTGATCGACAGGAGATGATGGCTGCATGGAGTCCAGCAGTACGGACATTAAGGAATATTACTAATAGTGCTGATATTCAGCAGATTAATAGACCATCAAATGTAGCACATGTAAGTGTTGGATTTTTCATTTATAAAATATTGGGACTTTTAATTAAGGAATTAGCCTGTGTAAGGACTTCAGTTTCCTTCTTCTGGTCTCGAAGCGTGCAAAGGAGTAAAAGTTCCCCATGTTAATTAAGAGTTACAGGATTAGCAACTTCCACAGTAATAAGTATCTTCATTACTAGGAGTTTCAGAAAAGTAACATGTTTGGCAAAAATGTTTGGAGGAGTAAAGCTGTGGTTAACTACTGCTTGGAGAGTGTTTCATAGTATTACAGTATCAATTTCCTGATGGGAGGGAGGGGAAGCTTCATTAAATTAAAGCTATTTGCCTCCCTCAGTAAACCAGACTTCACATGCTTCAAGCTTTTTGTTCAGTACAAGGTATTATTGGTAGCATAAACACATAAAGCTGCAAAATTGTTTGTGTTCACAGTAGATTCAGTTTTACAGTTTTGTTGTGCTGGGTATTATTAAGCTGTTACATAATAGTACGGTCAGGATTACAAAGCAGAAGTCCTGACGTGCCACCTCTTATGCCCCTCATATAGCTGAAATACCTGTAGCTTTTGTACTGAATTCATTTTAGAAGGGAGTACAGAGCGAGTGAGCATGCACTGAAATAACTTGCAGCACTGAAATTTTAACATGTTTCTGGGAAAGGAAGGTGGGAAAAGTAGGTGCTAGTAAACGTTAGACATCTGTTTGTTTAAATTTTTGAAGTATCGTACATTTATTTGGACCTTCCCCTGAAAGTAAAAACTTTGAAAGGTGCCTGAATAACATAGAAGCTTATAGCCACTCGAAAATGCTGGTTCTTTGTTGCCTGTGTGAGTTTGAAAAGGAGAACAGAAAAGCTGTCCGCTTTTCAAACGCGAGTCTCAGCTTAGCACATTGAACTGTGTAAGGACTGGAACTTGTGGATAAGGAATGAACAGGATCATCTAAGAACTGATGTGTTGGCCAGTTGTGGTACGTTGGCCGGTACTTCCATATCTCAACACCACATCATCTACAATGCAGTTATCATGCTATAAAATGCTAGTTAGTGCTCTCCCCATAGAGGTGTTTTTGGCTAAACAGCATTTGTAGAGATGCAAGGCAGTCATTGCATCATGTCCTGCTGCCTTCCCCAAAAATCTGTTAGGTTGAGGACTTTTGGCCATGGAGTGCAAGGCTACTTGCAAGTACCCGATCTGTCAGCTGCTGGGTGGGTCCTGCTGCTCATTCCAGCCCTTGGATGAAAGTTTTATGCCCTGGAATCGTGGGGCTGCCTCCAGTTCTGCCTTTGCTCCTAACGTTTTCCCTCTGCCTGAGTTAGGTTGGTTATGAGTTTTGGGTAGAATCTGTCTTGGGGCACAGCCTTGGTTTGAACCAGAGAATTCCCCTGCATGGCAGGATCCATGCTCATTAAGCATTTTGCAGATTAAAAAACTCATTTCTGAATATAACCCTAGGATATTTTTCAAAGTTTTATCCCTTTACTTTGAAATACATGTTCTGAAGTTCACGCAATTTCGACTTTTGAGAGTTCTTGTAGAGAACAACGTCAAGATTTCTCCGTATAATGAGCCACTGAAACTTTTTCCTCTGTGTATGTGATTTTTTAGTTATTTAATGTTTACGGTGTTATGCTGTCTAGACATTAGTGATGGGGAATAATCATGGTTATAAATGTGTGCAATTCCAAGCAGCATCAGTTAAAAATATGTGCTTGGAATTTAATATGTTTTGAAGTGCATTGTGGAAACCCTTGAATCACCTCTAATGAAGAGTTGCCAGATGTGTGATATTGAGAGGATAAAATAATGGGCTTTGTGTTTCGGGGATGTGTTTTGATTCCTCTACACCCCCCACACCCTCCTCACTGCAGTTTGAAGTATATAGTGTGGGCGAAGGCGAAAGGCTTCACATGATTCCCCTAAGATGGTTGTTTTTGAAACACTTCATGAATGACCAGTCTGAATTTCACAAAGTGGTTTCCTCTTGCTCCTAAGGTTTTTAATATATAGTTGGTATTAAAGCACTTGTAATAACATTGGGGACCTGCTCTCCTGTTACTAGAAATCTGTATAAATTCACTTATTTTTTGATGCTTTAAAAAGTTGATAACCAGTGTCTGTTCAGTGTGAAGTGATCTTTCCCTTAACTGAAGCGTCTCCGGGGAACGGAGCCCCGGATCTCAGCACTCTATATAACTTAAAAATTATTATTAGGCTTTTTCACATTATTTCACTCTTAGCATCGAGCAGACCAATGTGTCTCCTTGGGAACAATACATATTTTTTTTAATTTTTAAAGACAGCTATGGAGCTAAATTAAGCTGAGTGGGTCAGTGGAATTGTAAGAAGGATGTTAGAGTTGACTGAGTAGATGGATATAAACATGGATACAGTGTTAATATTTGTGATACTACTGGAGATATTATCAAGAAGACAGGGATGGGGTTTAATTTTAAATTGTACTAAACTGTGCATTGCCATTTATTAAGAGCCATGTGTAGTAACTTTCCTGTATGTAAGTCCTGTTCTCTCATTTTAAGAAAGCCAGTGTGATTAACAGTTAAGGATTTTGATATAATTAAGTAGGTATTTAAGTGCCTTGTCCTTTTAAGTGGTATATTTATGTGTGATATTTTCCCACTAATTCTTTAATTCTTTAAAAATTTTTTAAACTTCATGACAACAAAAAAAAGTCACGAAACAAATCTTTGTTTTCTAGATCTTACAGTCACTTTCAGCACCTACAAAAAGTTTAGAACAACAAATAAATCATAGTCAACAGGGACACCCCAATGCAGTGCTGTTTGGTCAAGTGAAACTAACACCAGAGACACATTTATTGCAGCAGCCGCATCAAGCGCAGCCGCAGCAGCACCATCCTCTTCTCCACCTGCAACCCCAGCAGCTCATGCAGCTGCAACAGCAGCAGCAGTCCCAGATTCCCCAGCAGTCCTTCCAGCAGCAACAGCCGCACCAGTTTTCCCAGCAGCAGCAGCAGCAAGTCCATCAGCAGCACCAGTTCCCGCAGCAGCCGCTTCAGTTCCCGCAGCAGCAGCAGCAGCAGTTACACACGCAGCAGCAGCTGCACCGGCCTCCGCAGCAGCTGCAGTTTCAGCAGCAACACGCGCTGCAGCAGCAGCTGCACCAGCTGCAGCAGCAGCAGCTCCAGCAGCAGCAGCTCCAGCAGCTCCAGCAGCAGAGCCTCCAGCAGCAGCAACTGCAGCAGCAGCAGCTCCAGCAGCAGCAGCTGCAACAGCAGCACTTACAGCGACTGCACCAACAGCATCAGCAACAGCAGATGCAGAATCAGGCAGCACAACACTTAACTCAAGCGTCTCAAGCACTACAGCACCAAGTTCCAGCGCAGCAACCACAACACCACCAGCAGCAGCAGCCGCAGTTGCAACAGCAGCAGCTTTTTGGACATGATCCAGCAGTAGAGAGTTAGTAGTTACTGCCTGCTGATGCTGAGAAAAGTGGCTAATGACATGACGTAATTTGGAATGTCAAAAAATAATGATGTGCTTACCAGATTATAGGAATTGGAAACTTAAGTCATCATTCGGGACCTGTTTGCTAAGCTTATATAAACAGAGTTAAATTATTATAAGGATGAAGGATTTAATTTGTTATAAGGATGATTTACTAATTTATTATGTGGATGATTTCCAGAAGTCGGGAAAGTAAGAAAGCACTGAGAACGTCTGTTCTTGTCTGCCACTACCATATACATTGTGCTGTGGCATCAGTGTTAGTCTGTGCACACTGTAGGTTTGAAAAAAAGTAACTTCCTTTCTTTAAAGGAGGAGAAAGGGGAAGTTTTTGAAGAGTTTAGTGGCTGCTTAGACAGCTTAACTTAAAAAATACTAAAAAAAAAAAAAAAAAGAAAAAAAGAGAGAGAGAGAATTCTTTATTGGATGGAAGACCTTGCTTCCGATTATGCATATGTAGCAAGCAGATTTATTGTTTTTTATTTGTAGTATTCATAGATGAGTTATACACTAAGGAGCAGCATAATTTCCTCCATTTTCCTTCTGCTGCCCATCTGTTCTATCTCTTCTTACCCCTTCCCTCCCATGACAGCAAAAAAGCAAAATACCCTGGGCCTTGAAGCATTGTGGGTCAACTTTGGAATTTTTGAGGCCACTTTCTCCCAAGAAAAATGTTCATTAAAATTGAATATAGTTCATAACCTGGTAATGGCAGAGATTAGAGTAGGAAACATTTTCTACTGTCATCTCTTCAGACTTTTAAGTATTTAATTCTTTTTTTTTTATGTGCCATACTCTTCCAGTTCCAGAAGAATATTTCCTGCTGGGCTGTGTTTTTGCAATTGCTGATTATCCAGAGCAGATGTCTGATAAGCAGCTGTTAGCAACCTGGAAACGGGTAAGATTCTGCTGTTTTTCCAAACCAAATGGTTTATTTAATGACGTGCAGGAAATTTCTTTGTGTTCAATGTGTAATGTTTGCATTATGACCTAAATTACATTATCCAACTGCAATTGATCAGAAAAAAGTACTAAAAATCCTTCAGATATGAAGTCTGCTTGCAGTCTGTGTGGAGAACAGCAACTTACAATTAATAGCCTCTACTAGTTCCCAATTATTTATGCTTTTAATCGTGCAACTGTAATGCAGCAAATGTAAACAAGCATTACTGTGCTTTAACTTTATTGTATAAATAAGACAAGATTCTTTCTGCATAAATGCTGTCATCTAGGTTGGCTGTGAGTGATGCACTTACATGAAAGGAATAAGATGGAGGGAACAGGGTTTTTTTTTTTTTTTTTTTGCCAACTTCTGTTTTTCAGAAAAATCTGATTGTATCGTTGGCTAAATGAGAGATCTTTGCTCTTCAGAAACCTCTGGTGAATTCTATAGTGGAATTTACCCTACACTTTTGCCTAATCAAGTAAGCTGCTGATGTTTTTAATAGCAATTGTGTTTGTTGCTGAGACAGAATTTAGTCATTCCTGAGCAACTGTTATAAAGTATGAGAAAGTTTGTTTCTGTATATGCGTATTTTTTTTCTTGATTCTTAAAAAGTTGGACTTGCCTTAGCTCAATGGAAAGTTTTTTAAAAAATACATATATATATATATATGTACAAAATAAATATATGTACAAAAATACATATATATATTTAATTTCTTCCTTTTCCCTTCTCCCCCGCATGGTTTCAAGTCATCTAACAAATGTTTTTTGAGGCACTCTCCCCAGTGAAGGAATGATAATAGTGGCTGTCTCCTCAACAGTCTGCAATGAAAATCTATTGTTTGTTTCCTAGGGCAACGTAAAGTGGTTATAAATGCCAGAAATCTTAGTTTTATTTTCTCACCAGATCATTCAAGCACACGGTGGGACAGTGGACCCTACACTTACAAGCAGATGCACCCATCTTCTTTGTGAAAGCCAAGTCAGTAATATGTATGCTCAGGTAAGCAAGCTAGTAACTTGTACACGTGCATGTGTTCCTGTTGTTTTTGCAAAGGTAAGGGTTTGCAAAATGTATTTCATGCTTAGATTATAGATTATAATAGATCTTAGAATATAAAACCAACATTTTTCATGGTGCACGCTCTTGGTATCATTTGTAGTTTATAGTGTAGCAAAATTCTATAATGAGTGTAATAGGCTTATCCCACAGATACCGTAGGAATGTGCTATGTGAAAGAAGCTCCTGAAAATGCAGAGGAAAAAAAAAAACACAGTAAAAAGATTCTTTTAAAATTTTCAGTTTTTAAAATCCGTTTTTGCATATATTGACAGGCTCTACGAGAAAGGAAGAGATGCATTACAGCACATTGGCTGAACTCTATCTTGAAGAAGAAGAAAATGGTGCCACCTCATCGAGCCCTTCATTTCCCAGTGGCATTTCCACCAGGAGGAAAGCCTTGCTCTCAACATGTAAGAAGACAAGGCTGACTTCCACAGAATGCTTGTTGCACTACATAAGCATGACTAAAACAGAGCCACAAAGAGTTTCTCCAGAGTAACATATATGCTCTTTTTCTCACCTGGAGAAACACTTCTCTTTGTCTTAAAGTCCTGTGCTGATACTTTGCCTTCCACCACGTGGTCCAGAATGTCTTGCTGAGTTCTCAGAGCTGAAATTTAACATCCCAATTGTAGTTATTATTCTCCTCTAAAGAGAAACTGAGATGCAAAGATTATGTGAATTATCCATATGTTGGGTGATAGGCCTGAACTCCTGTGTGAGATAAAAACTAGCTATGAGCTCTTTCACAATAAAACTGTAGTCTTGATAAGCAAGAAAAAGCTGTCCAGCAGAAGGAAAATGATTCTTCCGGGAAGAAGCACTGGCATTAGTGCTGGTACACTTGATTTTGCATATAAGCAAATCATTGCTTAACTGCCATTTAATTATCTCACAAGTCTTATTTTTGGGTGCCTATATACCAAAGTTATGACACTATATTCCATTATCACATACATAAAGTTAGTGAAATACAGTATTTATGACACACTTCTGATAATAATAATGTTTCTGTTTTGGGTTATTTGTACCTGTCTTCTCTTTGTAGATAATCTCCGTGACTGGATTTGTTGATAGTGACAGAGATGACCTCAAACTAATGGCCTACCTAGCAGGGGCAAAATATACAGGCTATCTGTGTCGCAGCAATACAGTTCTCATCTGTAAAGAGTAAGTGATTTCTTTCCACAGAATTTGCATGTTGCCTATTGTAGCTACCTATAGTTATTAAAGAGTGTTTGCTGTAATCATTTTTTGTGATTTGGAGTATTAAACTTTGTGGTGCTGTTTCTTAGCTTACTCTACACTATTTTATTTCAAAATTGTAGTCTCCTGAAGACAAGCTAGAAAACAAAAAGATGTTTCTAAGTGGTATTGACTGTTTTGCCATCTAAAAGTGAAGTAACACTTTTAGGACAGACTATTGTAAAATACTGGGAGTGTTAGAATCTAGGTCTAGTTTGGTTCCATTTAAGGCAGGAATTCTCCCCGATGGACTCCACATATTCTAGCATGCAGTAAAAATGTACTTTCAGAGTATGTAATCTGTTATAATTAGGGTAAATAATAGGGCAGTACAGGATTGCTGATACGTTAGGGTTTCCAATTAGAAATGGCTTGTACATATTTGATCAAAAGATAAGTTTTGTTTCTTCTCCTTCCTTGAACAACAAGACCCAGTGGCTTGAAGTACGAGAAGGCCAAAGAGTGGCGAATTCCCTGTGTGAACGCGCAGTGGCTCTGTGACATCCTGCTGGGAAACTTCGAGGCGCTGCGGCAGATTCAGCACAGCCGCTACACAGCGTTCAGCCTCCAAGACCCACTGTCTCCTAGTCAGCATCTAGTGCTCAACTTGTTGGGTAAGAGTCCCAGCCCCCAAATCTGTGTTGTGTAGCCTTTTTTGTGTAGCTGCTTAAAGGACAGAAGCCTCTGTCTGCTGCTGCTAACAACTTGGCCACGGTTTCATTTGTTTCTTTTTCACTTTCTAGATGCTTGGAGAGTGCCATTAAAGGTATCACCAGAACTTCTAATGGTATGTTCAGCTATTCTGTATACAGAAGAGAAGTTGTAAGAAGGTGTTCTTGCAGCTCTTATTCCTTAGTGTTTCTGCCTGTGAGCACGTGTGCACGTGGTGTGAGAAAGCCAGAGCGACTCAGACCATGCTGGTTGTGCACTTTGGGGTAGTGCTCCTTCTGTTTTTTTATTTCCATAAACCTGAGATCTGAATCTGAGCTTAGGAATAGTCTTTTTTTAGAACTAAGAAACTGCAAAGTAATTGTTGTACAAAATGTAATTACTTTAAAGATATCTTAGACTAGTGCCTCACTTTTTGGTTTAGCATCAGACCTTTTTAGGTCAGTACCCTAGCACTTTCTGGCCATCAGACCCCTTAAAGATTTTTTTTTTTTTTTAAGAGAAAACACTCCAAATCAGTTGGAATTTTGTTAGATGCTCAACTTTTGAATATGGTGAATAGTATAAATTAAGGGTGAAGTTGCTTTGTATGCTCTCTTTGGAATATTATTCCGAGAATTGAAAGCATATGAACTAAAATTTATTCTTTTATAATGCAGCAGGCTTTAAGAAGTGCAGTTGATAAACCTAAAAGTAGCAGTAGTGCAAATAAGCAAGAGTTAGAAAGCTAAGAATGCACCATGAACAGGATATAAAACATGTGGTTTTTTTGTCATGGAGTGTATTCTGTGAAATAGGTAAATTGTTACCTGACACGTGTAAACTGTTACTTGTGAAACAGCTGCAAGAGCTAAGGTAAAAACAGCAACTTGTTTTCTGAACCATCTCCTTATTGTGAGTATGTAGGAGGCTGCTTCAGTTTATCTTATTGAAAGCTTTTGTGTTATGATTTCTCTTCCCATTTCAGATTTATATTTTATATTTCAGATTTATACTTGATAACTGGTGTCTGTATTGATGTAGGTAAAACCCAGTTCAAACTCATTTGAACTAATGAGTTGGAATCTCCATGTTTGTACTTAGGGAAGTTGAGTACACAAAATGCAGGTGTTGATAATTTTTAGTGATGATTAGGCACCTGAAAGGGTATTGTAGTCTTTGTTTAGTTAACAAATGGACAATCTTCTTCAGTCCCATTGCATTCTCAATTTACTTATTCTTTGGGTTTTCCTATAATCATTATCAGCTGTATGTAAAGGGAAAAAATAATGTTTTAAGTAGTGTCCATTTAGTTTCATAACTTTAGAGAAGTTTTTATTTATTTCCAGATTTACTCTCGAGTCAGCTGTATAAGCTGCATTTACACCAGTATACATTTGGTACCGTGTCCTTTTCGCTTAAGTTTTATATTTTGGGTGTTTGGTTTTTTTTTTAATGTAGTGTCAGAATAGAGGAGAATCATTTTTCTGTTTCACATTACAAATGAGGTGTCCTGCTGAATGTAACTATAAACCTGTAAATGGTCTAATTTCAGGGTGTGAGATTGCCTTTGAAACCAAAGCAAAATGAGCCCAGTCTTCAGCCATCTTCTAAAAGAGCAAGGTAAGATTAACCAGCAAGCAGTCACAATGGTCATTAATTTACATTTTCCATGGAACTGGAAAACTGGAAAGCACAGAATTGCCATCAACTTAGTGCCATTCTATGCCCTGCTATTTGGACTAACTGCCCACATGTTGTGTATGGTGCCAGCTACTCAACTTGGTGTCTGAGGGAGCAGAATATAACTAGAGAATGAAGTAATCAGGGACTGAGGGAAAATCAAAGCAGGAAAAAAATGGGAGAATTAGGGAAAAAAAATGGGAAGTTCTGAGAAATGGAAAACTTCCTTTGAGAAGAAAGAAATATAGGAGTCCAGTCATGGAACAGAACCTGTTGTTCTAGATGTGTATTTTTAATAGAAAAAAAAAAAGTTTTGTACTTCGAACTACAAGATAATGGATTTGTAGAGGCAAGAGAGAACAAGAAAACATGAGAATAAGTGAAGCAGTACTGCCCTCCGAGACAGTTGGTGGCTTTCCCTGCTATCAGGGAAAGTCTTGCTAGTTGGTCTTTTGTTTTTCATGGCTGTAGCTTCATAAAGAGTCGTTTGAAAAGGACTAATACATTTTATATGATATTTCAAATGCAGAGAAAAAGAGGAAGCGTATATAAAGGCTAAAGGAGGCATAAGGAAAGAAGGAGAATGGACTAAAATATTTGACAGTAAACTCACTTTGTAATAGTTGTGAGCCATTTTGATTAAAAAAAAAGTCTCAGTAACTTTTTATGGATCTTTAAGCTATCTAGTGAGAAGTTCTTTTGATGCCATCAGAACTTCGTAGATAATTGAGTGATCTCTTAAACGTTCAGTTTTGATATAACGATCTGTGTCAGATACCTAGGACTTCAGCGAATGCCAAATTGCAGGGATGATTTAAAGACTCGAGGACTTTTTTTCACCCACCCTTGCGCACCTGAACAAACCTGATATTCACCAAAAAGCTGAGAGTTAAGGGTAACACGTGCTACTTAGAAGTATGAATAAGCAAAGCAGCCAAAGAGTCAGGTGAACGTCTGAAGAAATACTGCTTCTTAATACCAATGTTTTTCCCCAGAAGTTTGGCCTACCTTATTCCCATTTGATGGAGTATTTGCTGTCCTGAAAAGTTGCAAGTGTTTGCTTATCTGTTTTTAAAAGTTGACTTTGACCCAACTTCACATTCTGCTGTATTCCATTTTCGCTCTTTACCTTGTAGAATTGAAGACCTACCACCACCTACTAAAAAACTCACCCCAGAGCTGACACCAATGGTACTCTTCACAGGATTTGAACCTATGCAAGTTCAACAGTACATCAAGGTGACTCTCACACTTATCTCTTAGGATCTATGATAGAATATCTGATAATGTCCTGACACTGAATTTCTATTTTGTAAGGCTTCATTAGCTTACGCCTAATGTACAGCTAAAGCCGGAGTTGTTGAGGCAGAGGTTAGAGTGTAAATTTAGGCGACTTGAGTGTAATTTCATATCGATTCCTAAGTTTTCCTCAGTTAACCGATTCATACTTCTGTGATACTTATTTTTTTTTTTCTTTCCATGTGCATTTTTTTAAAGGCAAGGGTGCCCCTTCAGCAGCAGTTCCTAAATCAGCAACCAGGAGTGAGGCAGTAGTGCTAGTCATGCTCAAGATCAGATTCCAGATTCTGCTAGTGTAGTTCTAGTATCTCGAATACCAAATCCTTCGAAGGAAGCTGATGGCAAAGCTTATGGCAGGCATGAGATAATGTGCTCCCTTGGAGATTTTGTTCTGTTCCTTAATTAAACTCTTCCAGAACTTAACTCTGAATAATTTAGAATGCTGTTTTAACTGTAGCAAAATCTACTCCCTTTTTGAATCTCAGTAATTAAAAAATATTCAGGCTAAAAGAATTTTTTCCTTATGTTGTCCCATGTTGGCTGAGGTTTGTATTTTTTTTTCCACTTGGTGACCTCAGTATTGCACAAAAGATCCTACCATTGATGCCTGCTCCAGAGAATCAAAATTAAATAGGAGTAGTTGGAGTCCACTGCATTTCTTAGAAATATGCATCACTTCAGTCAAGCTCAAAAATATCTAATACCTTCTTTGTTATACATAAACTTATTTTTCAAGTAGCTGGAGTTTGTAATTTTTTTTTCCTTGCAATGTTTGCATTTGAAACTTCTTATTTAATATTTTGTGGTATAAAATATTTTTGATATATCCCATACAGTGCCAGTGACAGCTCCTCCTTTTTCTGTCATGTTGGTATCAGGTTTATTATATGGAGAATCTGTTTTGATAACAGCTATGGCTCACAAATATAAAAATGAACTTCAGCCTCGAGACTTGTGAAGTTTAAGCCAAACTTGACAGTGATGATACCATTAAGATCTTCCAGAGTTTGGATACCTTCCTGAGGCTGGATACCACCATCTTCTTGAGAGGGTGGGATAGTCTTTTTTCCTCTATTCCCAAAGAGCTCTTTGAAAATCAGAATGCAAATCGTTCAAGATCTGCACTCGTAGGTGTTCAGTGCTTGAAGTGAACATATATTAATTTATGAAAATAGCAGCCGTTGCCTTTCCCAAGTGTACAAGTAGTATTTACAGGGACTTTATAACGTGAAGGAAATGAGTAGTAGAGAGTCAATGCTACTGAGTAGTATTTCTGTACCTTGTCTTTACAGTCAAAGTAAGCAAGCACAGCAAAGAGGAGCCTTAAACGTTTTCCCTGTCTGTTCTGCTTGTTCATTATTGTTAGAGCAATAGGATCCAGAGCAATGTCAGAGACTATCTAGTGTCACTCTGCTAATACACATATTAGACCTCCTTGCTTTGGTGGTGCCTGAGGACTGGTGTAATTAAGTGTATCCCTAACCAGTTGATTCGTTGTATCCTTATCTGTACAGATAATGATTTAGGTTTTAACTGAAAAAATAGCAAAGTGATTAAGGTAATAAGGTAATTTGAATGAAGGAAAAAGGAATAATCACTCACTGCCATCAAAATGTGTATTTTAAGAATACTTATGTCTCATGAGATGTTTTTCTTTTCTATGAAATGATGAGGAAGGTTAAGTTTACCATAACTAGAGCATATGTTATACTGTCCATAAAGGAAAATAGCAAAATTATTAAAGCATTTGCTTACTTTGACTTAAAAAATGTTTCACTTAAAGTGTAGCTTTCACTCTTGCCAAAACAAATTTATGCCTGGAAATAGGTTATAAATTCTGTCCTTTAATCAGCTTTAGTGAAGGAATGACTGTAAAACAGTACTCTTATCTTTACTGTTAGGACCTGAGTTTTATTTGATGTTGGTGTTAGGATTTTCCATTTTTCTTCCACTTCTAAAGGACTATTCCTTTCTAATTTGTATGTTGTACAACTTTCAGAAACTGTACATCCTCGGGGGTGAAGTAGCAGAATCTGCCCAGAAATGCACCCATCTGATTGCCAGTAAAGTGACCCGGACTGTCAAGTTCCTCACGGCAATTTCAGTAGTCAAGCACATAGTAACTCCAGACTGGTTAGAAGAGTGTTTCAAATGCCAGAAGTTTGTTGGTAAGCTACATTTTTATCACTTTCTCTTACACATTTAAGATTGGTTGCACTCCTGGTTTAAGTGTGCAGAGATGGAATGTATATTTGAATACACTTTGTTTTGATTTTGACTGTAGTATCTTTTGCCAGCTTTTCTAAAGAGTGCAGGGGATTTTATAGGGATTTTAAGTCTATAATAATAATAAATATATAATAATAAAGTTTGGTTATCATAACTCATAATTTATACTGGTGAATAGTTTGTGTTTCTCTTGAGGTAGACATTTATGTTTTTACAGTTTAATAATACTGTCACAGACAACAATTACGCTCTTTAAACTGAGCCTTTTTTCATTTTGCTTCATTTGCTTGAATACATTTACTTTTATTTGCTTTAATTTGTTTAATTGAAGTGAAAAAAGTTTTAAAGTTTTTATTTTTTTAAATAATTACGTATTTTGTTCTATAACGTTATTTTTTTTGGATTTGATTTCAATGTTCTCTGTAGTTTTTAAGCAAGTCAACCAAATATGAATAAAAATGTTTTTAATAAATTGAATTAGTCTAGGACTGTAACTCCTTTAAAATATATTGATTTTGTTTTTAACTTTTCTCCTGTTGAGAGCTGAGAACACCAAAACAGATATTTTCAGGACTAGTCATCAAAGATGTTAGGCTAAACAAAATCCTCTTGAAGGCTGAATATTTATTTGTAATTGTTTTATACTTTCTTTGCTTTTTGTTTGAAAGGAACAAATGTGTAGCATTGTTGGTGGACCACCACAAAGATTTAAATGTGTGGATAATTTTTAATTAACCAATAAACCGGCAAACATTTTTATATATGCAGAGAACTAGCATTGATAAATCGGCTCCGTGTCAGTGAATTGAGAAGTCAGCTCACTTGAGGTCCATTAGAAGACAAAGAACATCTCTACACTTAAATTATTTTGAACTATACCCAAAATAGAATACTATATTCCATACTATATTTGAACTATATCCGAATTAGAAATAAATTTAAAGAAAGCTTTTTGTGGCAAATCCCTTGCCAAAAAAAAAAAAAAAAAAAAAAAAAAAAAAAAAAAGAATAAAGGCTCAGGAGAAATGACAGTCCTTCCATCTCTATGGTTATGGTTGCACAAGGACTTGGAGTCAGCTCTGGGGCTCTGGCATAGAGATTGTCACAGTGATTTGAACAGAAACTTGATCTTTCTGCTCTTTTGTCAGTGGAGACTTCACAAATAAAAATTCAGAGGTTCTCCAGTTATTTAGGAGAGGGGACTTCTTAGGATGTTGCCAGTTAAACAAGTGTGAAATAACCTGCACGTTTCAGTTTTTCTTGGAAAAATTGTAGGTTGTCTTTATAATAAGTATAATATGTAGGAGGTATTATAGTCATGTTAAAATAAGATTATAGTAAGTGATGACCATTTCAAGTTGCTCTGCTATCAATAATTTATAGTCTGATTACAGTGTAGATTATTCTTTTCTCGTTCTTGTATTACATTGTCTTTCTTTTTCAGATGAGCAGAACTTTGTGCTCAGAGATGCTGAAGCTGAGGTTCTTTTCTGCTTTAGTTTAGAGGAGTCTCTGAAGAGAGCACAAGTAGCTCCACTCTTTAAGGTACGCAGTCTAAAAAAGGTATTTAAATACTTGGAGCTTTCAACTTTGGAACCATAGGTTTGTAGCTGAGGACAGTAAAAAAAGACTGTAAAGTATTTGTAAAAAAAAAAAAAAATTTTAGTTTGGCATTATGCCTGTCTCCTGCCTGACCTGAGAGATGGATATGGCACCCAAGCCCCCAGGGTGACCTATAGATGTGAACAAAGCATGCTCAGCGTAGTGATGTTATTTGGCCCCTCACAAAATTTCAGAGATTTCCACTTTATTTGCAAGATGCCACAAGCACTTGCCCAGAAAATGGGAGGCTGAGTTTGCCCTTCAGCCCCAGGGAGTTCTACCCTGATACTCCCTGGAGACTCCCTGCAGTGTGCTCAGATAACCTGCAGTTGGAATTATGCTGCTGTGCAGCAAGGTATGTAAAGATCCAGGTTGCTGGAGATTCCTCAGCCCAAATGAATCTGAGGTTCTTTCTTGGGGCAAATCACCCACAAATGAGATTTTTAAAGGAACTGATGAGTAAGCACCTAAGTCTTTTGTTAGAGCTATTACATTTCACTCACACAATTGAAATACGAAGATTTGTTTATTCCTAGATGGCAAAAACAGAGAGAAGCTGCTTTGTGATCTGATGACCTGTATCAGTCTCAGTAAAGTATTAGGGTTATTTTTGTCAGAAAATAATAACATGGACTGCTAATTAAAACCTGAAATTGGAGAGATTTTTTGCAACCCTTTAGTCATCCCTGCACTTGAAGCACAGAGGATTTTTGTACTTACAGGCCTCACCAACCTACGTATTTTTTTAATCTTCCATTAGCCATTGGTCACTTGAAAATTTCCTGATTATTCTAATAGTGTTGTAATCAGCACACCTAAGCTGTTACAGCTTCTAAAATCAGGAATTTGCCCCTGCAGAAAAAATAAATCCATAGTAACTAAAGACAACTCATCAACAGACTAATTTGCTTTAGTAGGCTACTGAAAGCTGTGAGATCTAGCACCGACTAACAGGCTGCCCAGTGAGTGTATAAGATGAAGATTGCTTGACAATAAAACTTGTCATGATACACGTCAGAAATCAGCTAACAAAATAACGCTGTTTTTCTTTTTCTAGGGAAAGTATTTTTACATTACACCTGGAATTTGTCCTAGTCTTTCCACCATGAAAGCTATTGTGGAGTGCGCAGGAGGAAAAGTATTATCCAAGCAGCCTTCTTTTCGAAAACTCATGGAGCATAAGCAGAATAAAGTGTGTATAATGCTGCTTTCCAAAACTAACTGATAATACCTTACTGTATTATCATGAGCTTACATTTATTTTTCTTTCATTTAGAGTTTGCCAGAGATAATCTTGATTTCCTGTGAAAATGACCTTCATTTATGTCGAGAATACTTTGCTAGAGGTATAGGTATGTATAAACCTATCAATGTAATTTCTACGTTATACCTGTTGTATTGATTTGTGGGTTTTTTTTTTTTACAAGTACGGGTAGATGTTGAAGCTTTCTGGTAAAACAGAGTGATAGTTGGTCTTATCTTGCAGGCCTTGGAGAAATCTGACTCAGCTGCTTTGTAGATGTTTCCAACTGAGCGGTTTTCTAGCCAAGTCACCCCGAATCTTGATGCTAATTCACCCTATGAGCAACAGCACATGCTGCTCGTTTGTGAGCTGCAGGAGTTACTACAGAACATACACATTTACTAATAGGGCTGTGTGGGGAAGTCTCATATTGGCAGTGCAAATGTCTAGTGCACTGTGTAGTGCTGGAGCAGAAAGGTTCAGGATGGCCTCTCCTGACACACACTCAGAATAAAGAATAATGTCTTATAGTATGTAGATTTTATATTAATATGTAAACATGTTTTCACCCTTTCCAGATGTCCACAATGCGGAGTTTGTCCTGACTGGAGTTCTTACTCAAACACTGGATTATGAATCATATCCTTTTTTCTGTAAAGGCTGTCAAGTACGTAGAGCAGAGTGTTTTCTTAGTTAGTATGTAACTACTTGCATAATTTTTAGGATGTATGATGTTATATTACTTGCTGAGAGGGTTGTTTAATACATAGATTTCCAGGTAGAATCCAAAGTGGAATTAATTTTGGCTAGAAAACACTTCAGTGGGGGTGGAGAGCAGAGTTGTCAGATTGTAATAGTTGTAGAATATTAAGCAAAAGGAAAAATAATTGCCACTAGGGACTTGCAGAAATGGAGAATAGCTGTTTACTGGAGAAGATTATAAGCCCCTATTGATAATTGCAGCGTGGGAAAAGGAAAGGTTCCTTTGCTTGTTTTATAGGTCTTATTTTGCAGACATTTTTCAAAGTTGTTGCTCTTAACAAACATACATATAAATTTACTTGATGGATAGTGAAATGCCTTACTGCTTCGGAACCCATGGAGCATCAAATCTAACCACTCAGCCATTGTACAAAGTGACTAAAACTTCCTGTGGATGCTGTTTTCCAGCTGTTTTCCTAGGGATGATGAGCAGTTTAAAGCAGGAAAGCAAAAATAAACTGCATCTTTTTTAGGATGTGTAATTTTATTATGAGGAAACATAATTTACTATGTTTTGTATTATACTACCGTTTTAAAAAAGCCCACTTTAGGTATCATGATTAGCCAGTTTTTAAGCATTTTAACATGAACAATGGTACTTTAGCCAAAAGTGTAATTTGGATGTAAAAATAAAAGGGCTTGCTGTCTATTAAATTATGGATGTTGAAGATGAAAATGTTTTGTACTTTATTTTTATTTCCTATACTCTATTTTCTTTTATATTGATATTTTGCCCACATTTTAAATAAATGTACTTTTAAATGTTTGACTCTATATTTTACTGGTGGTTCATTCTTTTGAATACCGTGCAACTATGGCACTCTGGTAAGAGTAAATTACTCTAATCTTTTTCCAAGCAATGTAAAATTATTTGAAGTTTATTTTCCCGGGTATGTTTTAATATATAAAAACCCAGAACTTTAAAGGGAAACTGTTCTAAGTGTATAAATGTGTTTTCTACTGAGAAAAGAAAATAGTTTGAAGGAAGAAGCAACTATAACCCTATATATTATGTTGTTGTGAAAACTTTTCTTTGTATAGTGAGTTATAATAAATATTAAAAAAATCACCCAAATCTATATTCAACTCCTATTTCCTAACACACACACACACACACACACACACACACACACACACACACACACACACACAGATATCTTATAGTCCAACTTTACCTTTTTATCACTTTAGATTCATATAGATGAAAAATCACCCTACAAACATCTACGCTTTAATCAATAAGGCATTAAACACTGGGAGGGTTGCAGGTGTTCCGGTGCCTGTGTAACATCAAACATGTTCTAGCACTTTCTGAACCATGTCCGGGGCAAAAATGTAAGACTAAAACTCTTTTAAACTGACCGCTCACCTCTTTTAAACTTATCACTTTTTCCAGCATTTCATTATTTTGTGCAGAATCACTTTGCAGAGAAGCTTTTACAAGTATTTGACAATGTTACACTGAGGAAAGCTGCTGTTTTGTGTTTATGCAAAGCTTTCCATGGCCAAGTTATTAAATTAAAATCTCTCTTTTGTGTTGAGGCTCGAAATGTAAATCCACCTGATATTTGACCACTTTTTCGGTTGCCTTTATATTCATGCCCTAGTTCAGCAAGGTACTTAAGCAAATGACAAATTCAAGCTATAAGAACACAGGGTAAATTCTAAGGTGAGTGAAGTCTCACTGAGGTCAGTAATAAGCCTATTTACTGCCATTGCAAGCATTGGGTTCTTCAGCTAAAAGAAAAAAGGATTTTTTTTTTTTTTTTTTTTTGTAAAGAAGGACTGCACCATGGTAGGAGTGGAGTTTCTATCAGTACGGCTTTTGATAAGGTAACAAACTGTAGAAAATACAAATTTCATACTTTGGCTCAGAATGTTTTTAGGTGTATTGGAAATTAAAATAGTGTGGCACAGAGTGGGGAAAGTGGTACTTTTCTCCAAATTGCACTTGCTACAGCAGGAGTAAGTATTTTTAGGTACAGTGTTTCATCATTCAGTCTCCCTTTCATTACAAGAATAAGAAAGTATCCACTGGAGAGACTTAACTCTGGAAGTTGACAGTGTTTTTAATGCTTAGCTTTACGTTTCTGAAAGTAATAAATGAAAAGGGAGTGCAATGGGAGTTAATTGTTCTTGTCTCAGTAACTTGTCCTTTGTATAGGTAGTCTTGGCTAGCCTGGTCTCTTCTCGTGTGAATGGGGGGAGAGAAGCTTGTGAACAGAAGCCCCAGCAGAAAACACATCTCTTAACACAGGCTGCTGAACAAACTACTTTGGGGTGCGTGTCTGCTTTTTTTAGGCTACTAAAGATAGGTGAGAACAGTCCCACCCTGAGGAACAACAGTAGTGCATTACAAAAATAGTGTTTTTTAATAGAGAATAATATTTTTTTCCCCTCTTCAAATCACTTCAGAAGCTGTATTACAATTACAATCATTTAAATAGGTGATAATGACTTGAGATTTTCTTCACTGAGATACTCAACAGTTTGCAAAAAGTCTTCAGATGCATTTTCCTTTAAAACAACTACCAGCTGTTACAGCTTTTGGACTTTTGAAAGCTTTTAGACACACAAAACCTCTTATTCAAGTAAACATTGCAACCACCCAGACATTCAGCATATCTTTGTATGCCTTATAAATGGCCAGTTGTCATGTCGAATATTATAAACCTCCATTTCTAAAAGAGTTTAGTTAGATGTATGCATTTAAGGAGTTAATGGCAATACTTAGCTGTGCAGGATGGCTTTGCAGTGAGCTGTGCACCCTTAGACATGAGACCTACGGCTTTGCAAGGCTGGGCTTGTAAGAGCAAACAGGACCTGTTGCTGTCCCTTAGTGCAGAGTGAAACCTTTCACCAGGACAGGAAGAGGCAGAGAGAAGCCAGGGTTGAATGTATAAGCAATTTTTGCCTCAGCAATATAGACTGCACTACTTGGTGATTTATTTATCCTTTAATAACACTTCTAACCTTTTTTAAGGTTAACAACTTCTTCCACATTTTCCACAACTGAGCAGTACTGAGGACACATTCACCTCTACCCAAAAGTATTATAGTTAAGTGACAATATCAAGGCAATAGCACCTGAAAGGTAAACTTTAATTTTGTTAACACTATCCAAAATACTGTCATTATTGCATGGAGAGGCTTGAGGAAAAGCAAATGCAATCATGGAACAAATGAATCCCATGGGAAACCTGCCTGGTAACACATCTGTTTCATCAGCAGTGGAGACAGTGTGTTTATTTAACCAACATACACATATGACTGATTTGATTAACCTTTCAATTAGAGTAAAGAAGGGAACCTGCCAAGAAATAGTCCTTCAGGAACCACGGGAGCTGTCTGGAGCCAACTGGCTTGCACAGATGTTGCTCTGTGTGTGATGAGTGGTCAAGAAAGGATTTGGTGCAGTATTCCCGATTCTAGATTGCTGTTATTAGCACATTGTCCTTTTAATGGGCGGGTAAAATACTGAAGAACCTGCTATTTGATTCTGTTGTCTGCTCTAAAACTCAGAAAAAAAAATCATTCATTGCTTAATTACCTTATAGAAACACTAGGTTTTACAAGGTTTTACGTTTACTAGTGTTCTTTGTAGAAAACCTCTCTTGATACATCACCTGAAAATAAATAAATGTCTTAATGAAACCTTTCAAGTAAATAAACCTTTCAACATAGGAACATGTCTCTGAAATGGCAGTTAGGAATCCACTAAAAGTTACAGAGATGTGGTCAATGTCTGTAGTTTTCACTTGCCTTAGTCACTAAACAGAGCTGTAGAGTGGAATAATAGAAGTGCGGTTGGATGGGACCATGGAGCTCTATGAAATTTGCTTTATGCTGAAGGATGGAGATCCTACAACATCTGTGGGCAACCTCCTTCCATATTTGGCTAGCCTCAGAAAAATGAACAAACAAACCATACATCTAATCCCCTCTAATTTTCCCATCTTCCAACTTATCTGATGCCTCTCATTCTTCCCTTGCAGATCTCCAAAAAGAGTCTGTCTCACCTAAATTCTAAGTTCACATCTAGACCATCAGTCAAAGTCCATTCCCTTCCGCTTTCTTTTGCCTGCCCTGTGTTGCTCACAGCAAGAATAAGGATACTCCAAAGCTGTAAGGCTAAGAAATGGCAGCAGAAGGAACAGGGTAGCCATAAATTAGACTATAGAATTAGACTATATGGCTGAATTAAGGGACCTATAGGCTGACCCCTCAAAGAACAAGCTTTTACAAATTACTCCAGGGTTCAATAAGGGTAAGTTGCTTATATTTTCTAAGGAACTGTCGTGAAGAGCTGAGGAAAAAATAGGAAAAAAAAAAAAAGAGAAGTTTCAATGTGTTTTTTCTTAACTTACAGAACTGTTACATCAAGCAAGCCTCTTTCCAAAATGATCTCATTGCTACATTTATTCTGCATGAAACATCATAAGGTAAAGGCAGACCTTTCTTCTTGCTTTCACACAGCCTTCAGAATCTGCTTTCATTCAAAACAGAAACCAAAAAGCACCCCACAACATAGCTGCAACTTGTTAGGGTTTCTCAATATTTCTGAGTCTGGCCAGTGCTGTGACATTTACAGAACATGAAACAGTAGTTCTGAGGCATGAGCTCTCTGCTGAGTTCATTTCACTTGATACTGATGATGATGCTTCAGATGTCAACATTGTTAGCTCGCTGCCTGTAGCTAACTCAAAGAAGGAGAGAAATCTCCATGAGCTGTGTAATCATTTTTCGGCAAGGAAGAACTTTCCCTAGCAATAGCAAAGGGGGTTAAGAAATGTTGTGAAGAGAAGAGAAGAGAAGAGAAGAGAAGAGAAGAGAAGAGAAGAGAAGAGAAGAGAAGAGAAGAGAAGAGAAGAGAAGAGAAGAGAAGAGAAGTCCAGAGTCACTTCAGAATGCAACAGGCCTCTCAAGGGAAAAACAAGCTCACGCTGCTTCCTCAGTGGGATACCTGAGCTGTCCCTGGAGGAAGTACAGTGGAGAAAAAGCCTCTGTGAGCCCATGGGAGGTGCACAGAGCTCTGCCGAGGGAATTTTAACCTGCAGACAACGCTGAAGAGCATGGAGTGATATTTGGAAAAATATTCCCACTCTTACACATTGTAGCTTTAAAGTCAAGCACTGTTCTTAGAAAGGGGCCGTGCTGCATGTGCAGCCAAGGGGAAAGAGGGCATGGTGCTCAGCTCATCCTTGTATAAGGATCATGGATCAGATACGTTTTTTTTTGAGTAGATCTGTCTAGGACATTTCCTCACAGCCTCCTATGACCACTACAGTCCTTGTCTACTGTAGACGAGACTCTGTAGGAGAAGATGGGGAACTGGCCTGGGCAGAGAAGCCCTGTGTGGTGAGGCAGGGCTAATAAGCAGGACTCAAACCAGCAGGAGCCCCTTGGCCTCTGGAGTGGAGAAAGGAAGAGGATTTCAGCACTGATTCCTCACAGGAGGATCTTTGAAGGG